AGAGCATTTTCAGAAACAGGTAGTACTGTGCTTCTGCAAGTGGAAGTGTGTTTCCTCTTGCACTAAATATCTTTTGGGTCCAAATCAGTTATCTGTGCTGGTTTTGGTCTTTAAAGCCCTGTGTGATTGACACTGAGGTACCTTCAGGACCATCTTCTCTATCCAGCTTTGACTCACTTAACATATAGTTCCCAATAGAATTTGCTAGTACAGGTAGTCCTTAGATTATGACCACTCATTCAGTGACCGTTCAAAGTTACAACAGCGCTGAATGAGGGGGACTTAAGGCCAGTCCTCAAAGTTGTGGCCATCACAGCATCCCCACAGTCAAGTGATCATGATTCGGGTGCCTGGCAACCAGCTCGCAATTATGATGGTTATAGTATTCCACAGTCACGTGATTGTCATTTGCAACCTTCCCTGCTGGCTTTCCACAAGCATAGTCAATGGGGAAGACAGCAGCAGGTCTCAAGTCACTCCCATAAGTCACTTCTGCTCCCACCATTTTTTTTCCTGAGGAGTTCCCAGGTGGCACGGGGATTTCATACTCTGTAGCACCTGCCTGCACTCCCTAGTGTCCACCCACGGCACCCACCTGCCCACACTCCCTGGTGCCCACCTGCAGCACCCACTCACACTCCCAAACGCCCACCTGCAGCACATGCCTGTCTGCCCACACTCTGTAGTGCCCACCTGTGGCACCCTCCCCCTCGTGGCACCCGCCCATCGTCTCATTCTATAGCACTTACGCACCGCACCCCCCACTCATCCACATTCCATAGTGCCCGCCCGCAGCATCCGCCCACTTGCACTCCCTATTGCCTGCCCAACTGCTTGACTGGAATGTAGTTTCAGTGCCTCTTCCCACGTCACGGTCATGTGAGGTCCTTGCTTAATGACCTGTGCAGTCCTTGCTTAATGACAGCAACGGGGATTCCCAGGATTGCCATTGCTAAGTGATGCAGTTACGTGGTGTCATGCTTTGCGACTGCATCACTTAGTGACAGAAATTCCAGTCCCAATTGCAGTTGTAACCCAAAGGCTACCTGTACTTCCCTGCTTTAGTGGTGTAAGGAGAATGGAAACCTGCAGTCATTATTTTTCTGTTGCTGTGCCAATGCTTTGTAATACCCGTCAGTCTGAACTTCAATCAGTCCCCATCTTATCAAGTTTTAGAAAATTATTAAAGCAGAATTATTTAAGATGGGTCTTGAATTATGAATGCTGCTATCTATTTATTCATTGTTTGTATTTTCTGGCTGCTGTTAATGGCTTTTATTTTATTTTGTTATATTGCTGTTAATTTTGTAATAGTTTGTTTTGGAGTTATGTTTTGTACCATGGATATTTTATTGGAATTATTGATTATAATTTTCCAAGAGTCTGCTGACTGTGGCAGGCAGGGGAATACACACACACACACAGACTCTCTCTCTCTCTCTCTCTCTCTCTCTCTCTCTCTCACACACACACACACACACACACACACAGAGCATATGTATATATACTGCTAGAATGCTATGTAAGTATAATATGAATGAAGCAAAAGTGAGGATTTATGAGGAAAGGAAATTTTAGTAAGTACAAGTAGACTTACCTTACCAACTGCCTCGTGCAGCAACCATTTGAAATTATGATGGTGCTGAAAAAATAATTTTGTGACCAAGGTGCACATTTATGACCTTTTCACCGCTCTTCAGTCATGTGATCACCATTACAGTCAATACACATCCTGTGCCTGACTCCTTTTTCTTCTTCTTTCCCCTTCGCAGAGTGGAGAGATTGAAGAGGAAGGGATTACAAGAGAGTAAGCAGGCATAGAATGTGGAATACACCAGCTGCTTGCAAAGCACACTCAGGACTGCTGGTGCCAGCACATTTCTTTCAATGTGTATTCCCTGTTGTGTGCCTGCTTACTCTCTTGTAATCCTTTCCTCTCAATTAATGTAAATACAAATATTAATTGCCTTTTTGCTAATTATTCCAGTGCTGGGATGAGTATTCCAAAGGGCAGGGGAATGGGGAAAAAGGAAAGCGAAAGCAAAATCATAAGCACAGTTGTGGTCACGTGTTTTCCCACTTAGTAATTGCTTTGCTTAACAACCAAGTTGCTGGTCTCAACTGTGGTTGCTAAGTGAGGATTGCCTATATCTTTTTCTCACTTTTTCTTAACCAGGAGACAACAACTTTGTATGAGAGTGGCTGCACACAATGATCGAATAAAAGTGTGATCCAGAAAGTGCTTCTTGGAATACTGTTTTCACAGGTCACTTGTCAAGTCTTTCAGCTGATTGCAGGATGAGTTCATTCTACTCTGTAGCATAAATATCCTCACACTTTGTAGGATTCCCAGGTTCATTACTGCAATTTCAATAAAATTGGACCCTTTAAAGCACAAGTACCCATATTTTTCTATGTGGACCTTAGCAGGATTTAGAGTTATCAAATGAAACCAAAATTGTATGAAAATATAAATAAGTTCCACTGTCCATAATTATTTATAACTTCATGGTAAAATCTGGTATGGAGCTTACTGTGTTGTTGTGTAATGGTATGTGAGAAAGACCTTGAAAAATGAGGTGAAGAGATGCTGCCTAGGTAACAGTCAGATAAGAGAGGGCATAGCCCACAGCTACATAATGAGTGGAGAAAAAGAAAGAGGCTCAGAATGGACCCTCCCTAGTTTCCCAGGCTGTAAAGGAGATGGTGGGAGATTTGTACTTTGAGACTTGCAAGATTCTGTTAATGTAGCCTTACAATAAAGTAGAATTAGCTCATCTGGTTGTGTTTCCTGTCTGGTCTACCTGGGAAGGCTGACAAGGTGCTTAATGTGGGCATTGGAATGAATCCCAGTCCAATGAAATGGAAGAGCATTTATTTTCATGTAAACCAGCCTGCTGACTTCTTCCCATTTCCCTATTCTACTGCAGTCCTACATTACATCTCTTATCAGTGGTTTTAAGGTATCGCTTAGGGGAAGGTTGTACACAGCCAATGTAGTGGAGGGAGAGGAGCTGGGAAAACCCCTTAGTACATGTGAGGTTCTGCTAAGTCAAAGCCAGGCAATCTGATGCCCTCCAAATGATTTGAGATAGTTTCCACCATGTCATGGGATTTGTAGTCTAAAATATCTGGTGGACACTAAGTTGGTTACACATTCCTGTGCTAGACATTATCTGAATCCAACTCTCTGGGAGTGTTAGAGAGAAATTGATATATATATATTTTTAAATGGATTGAAGACTGGTATCTTAAAAGCCTTTTTCAGGGAGTTTGCAAAGCAGAACTCCAACTCTGAGGGAGGGAGTTGGGTTATCCTAACAACTGTTATAAAAGTGATAACCTCCTTTATGCTCCCAGTTAATTTTCAGGTTGAGCATCTGAAGTGCTTGCTAAGCAGAGGAAGTGGGAAATGGTGGCTCTTAGTTAAAACTTTTATGGAAAACTCTTGGTCCATTTTTTCTCCTGGAATGCACCAAATAAACAGGTTTTAAGGCTGGAATGACACAAATCTTTTCATGTTCTAGAATAATCATTCTAGAAAACAATAGACTACCACAGAATTGGCACACTCTAGAGGAAAATGAGACAATTGACACATTCCAGGAGAAAAATCAAGAGTTCTAGGGAACATCAGAACATTCTGTTATTAGACTGTGAAGTTTTGCAAACCACTGGCCCTGTGATTCAGGCTGAACTGCCCATATGCTACTCAGAATGGCAATTTAAAGTTGCCAGTGTACTGTCCATCTTTTACTGTAAGCCAAGTTTCCTATGTTTGTTAGATCTGTGATATATTACTACAGAATGTTCTTGGTTGAGTATCATTTCAATCTCGTTTGAAGCTTTATTTGCAATATACATAACTGTATTTTTCAAAACCACTACCTGCTTCATTTCAAAAGCAAGGAGACAGTGCCAGGCTTGGGATTCTTTTGGCTGGTTGACTTGTTTTTCACGGTGTCCTTAACAGGAAGTGACAAGAAAGGCAGATATTTAATCAGTTTTGCTTGTAACAGCAAAACAGACCTAGTAAGCACTTCTTTGGCAGCAATGTGGTTTGATATATTCAGCAAATATTATTTGTACATCTGTCAATAACTATAAGGCAGCCTCCATAATGAGGACAGCAGGGATTTGTGCTGGAGTTTATTGCTACTCTTGACTTTAAAAGGTCAGCCTCTCAGAAAAAGGGTTAGAAATTTGCATTTCTCAAAAATGTTCTTCCTACTGAAGCTATCTCTTAGTTACAGCAGTTTTCTATGGCTGATAAGCAGCACATATACAGAATAATTATATATCAGCAGAGGAAAAAAATGACATGGAACTTAAATTTTAAAATGCCATTGCATTCTGCTGATAAGAATGAGTGCTTTTGCTGGACAGAAGCGATTACAAGGTAGAATTGGAAAGCAAATTGTATTTACAAGAGATAGAAAAATGTTTCTAAGAGGAGTTCAAAACAGACAATTTCCTTTCTTGTTCAGGGAACTGCTGCTTAGAAACAACTTACTTTGAGGGCTGATATTTTTGAAGGTAGAAACACATTGCTTTCTGCTACTTCTTTTCTAAATTACCTCACATTCTTGGTTGGTATCACAGCCCCATTGTGTTACACATGCATGAACAAGCTATGTCCGAGGAGTGACAACATACTAGAGTAATTTATGTTTCATTTCTTCAAATGCTAAAAGTTTATTTGTAGCCATGGAAATGTTTTTGAAATGTATATTCTGGCAATAATTATTCCAAATATAATAGCTTTCATTTTCCTGAGTTTTGATTTTAGTTATCAAAATCCTTAAAACTAATGACATTTACAATTAGTAAGGTATACATTTTGATCTCTGGATAATTTGACTTTCATATTAAACAAAGGAAAACTTTTTAGAAGCATTTCACACACATCAACTATGCCGTGCTTTCTAAAGATGTGTTCTCTTTACAGACTGGAACTGTGGTAAATATATATACTTTAATCAGTTCAATTTCTTTTTCAGATTTTGGACTTGGTGAAAGGTATGCATTATCAGCTGGCCTGCCAAAAATACTTTGAACTGACTCATGATGTGAGTACATATTTTACTACTGTGTTTGAGAATCACACCAATGCCTCCAGAAAAACCTGAAAATATTCTGTTCAACAGGCATTGCCAGCATCATTCATTATTTGTTATGCTGAGCTAATGATTAAATAGCAGATATCTTTGATTCCATGTAACAATTAACATTAAATATTTGGTAATTATAGGCTACTATAGCTACCCTGCCTTTCTCCTCCTAGAGAAAGGTGTAAGATGTGTGGATCCTAGTGTTCCTGTTTGAATTGAGGCTCAGAGACTGAAAGTTGAAACAGATCTAATCTCCACAACTTCTACAGGTTCTACAGCCCCAGTCTCTGATCCTGGTCCAGAGTTTCTGGGCCTTTGACTAGTGTTTTTCAACCTCAGCAACTTTAAGATGTGTAGACTTCAACTCCCAGAATTCCCTAGTCATTTGGATGCCACCTGTTATATTTTTACAAGGAAGAGAGCCCTTAGTTGAATGATATACTGTAGTCAACAAACACAGGCTTATATTCAACCCAGGGCAATGATGAAATTGTCTTTCCTAGACCAGTGAAGTAGATAGGCTACTGCTATGCTCTCTACCTCTCTCACAATTTACCCATCTTTTAAACCAGAACAAACTCAAATTATCATGTGTATAGTATAACCTTGTTGCCATCATATCCTGGGGCTACAGAAGATGGGCGAAGACCAAAAACCACTCTCTGGGTAGTTGTTTACAATGCCACAATGTTCAAATGTTGCTTTTTCCTCTGTATTATATAAACATGTTAGATGGCAAATTTCAACTTTTGATCTGTATTACAGTACTTTAATATGATGACATAACTAGAATATAATGCAAAAGGCCAAGATTATTATTTTCAAAGTACACTTTTAATTGCCAAATTATTTACATGCTGTGTGCTATCTAGAGTTGAACTCTACCCTTCAGTTTTTTATTTTCTGTTGCATAGGATTAACTCTAGTTGTTGTTATTGCCTTATTTTCAAGGTTTGGACACAGCTTGCAGTTGTGTAATTGCCTACAGAATGCTGTTCTGTAGCCCTCTTGCTGATCTTGTCCTGCAGTTGAAGTATTCTTTTATGGTACTAAAATGCCATGTTGTGGAAAGAGGGAAGAACACTGGTGGAGTCATGTCAGCAACTACTAATGGATAGGCATTTGGCCCTGGTGCATTGTAGTGCCAGAATCTGACAGACAAAGGGAAAATATGTCAGCAGGAAGGCTTGCTTTACCTTCTTATGAGTCTGCTTTTCAAAGTGTGAATAGAAACAGTTGTTAACGGACTCCAATGAAGACACATTTAAGGGGCATTTTGAGCACAGAGGATCAGCAGTGTATCTTTACTTAGTTGAAGCTGTAGTTTTATTTGATGAGAACTTAAAGACTGTTCTGAAGCCAACTGCAAAACTTTCACAGTTCAGTGTCTTGCTTCTTGGGAAGACCGCAAGCAGGGCAAAAGAATGGTAGCTCTGAACTGCTTGATCCTGTCTGAAAAAAATGAGGTGGCTATTATTCACACAATCATACTTTTGATACTATACATTGCTTATTCATATTGAGCATCTTTAGGTACTATTAGCCTTGTTCTTGACTATTCTCAGCTTCTTGTTGATTCTGGTATTTGCATCTGGATCTGAACTTTGGTTGATTCTTATTCATAGGAGTAAATGAAGGTTCTCTTCCCATAGTGCTGAGTGAAAATATTTGTGAATACAGGTTAAATACTAAACAAAGTGTTAAGGGAATACAGTACACACATTCTTTTTAAAATACTAATTAATACTGTATTTGAAAATATATTGAGGAATGAGAAGTGGTTACAGTAAAGTGAACTTCAAATTGGATTTACTTTTAGGTATCAAATATTAAAATAAGCTTTAGACCCAGAAAAATGAAACTATAAGCAAAAATGCTTGAAGTGGTGGTGGTGGGTTTTTGTTGTTTTTGTTGTTGTTTTTTGCCATAGGTTATAACAGTCCAACATCACTAAAATGAGATTAAACAATGACATAAAGATATAACCAGCTTATGGCATACACACAATCACAGTTACTGTGTAATACATGATCAGCGAAAAACAATGGGTGGCATTGTATCTACTGTGGTGAAAGTAGAGACTTTCAATATGGATTCTTTGTCATTGACTACTGACTTAAAGTGCTTTTCAGCCCTCAGAGATGGTGGAGTAGCTTAGTTCTTTGAAACAATAACATTAAAACAGAAATGTGTGTATTTTTTAATAATGTGATTCTATATACGTAATTCCTGTGGAATTCAATCGGACTTCCTCCCAGAGCAACCCTTGAAGGATTGCAACTTAAACAGCTTATTTAGAGACATATTCATGATTGCTGGCTGTATAGCATGGTTTCTCAATTGGGGCTCCATAGAACCCTATGGGTGCCACAAGAGATTGTTTAAAAAAAAAATTCCATGCAATGCTAGCACTGGGAATGTTGGTATTTTTATGCACTGCAACTCAGCTGCTGGTTTGCCTTTTTGCTAGGGTTCCATGAAAGATTGTTACAAATCTTTTTTTCTTTTTTTTAACCTTCATGTGCAGTGCAATGCTAGTTGGAGATAGGATAATTTTTATGCAGGGGTTCCCTGAGACCTGAAAATTATTTTAATGGTTCCTCCAGGGTAAAAAGGTTGAGAAAGGCTGCTCTATAGCAATTGGTGTCTTCTTTTCCTCCAGGGCCCATTAATTCTAGTAGGCTAAGAAAGGAAAGAATCGGATAGGGAATCCCGTAAGACTCGACTACTCCTAGAATGTAAGGTGAAGACTCCCTTGAACCAAGCTGAATTCCTGATGACTGTGTTGCCAGTCAAGACAAATAATTGTTTTCCTCGCTTATGATAAAATGCCGGAAATGTTTCCATTTGTTTCTTGTCTCAATTATTTGTTTGCCTTAACAGATAAACTTGTGCATTTACACCCACACTAATGGATTCTTGTGCTTGAATGCCTCTAAATGCTTTGCTATCATGAATGATTTGGCTGAGCCAATATTCTTAGTAAATATAATATGTGTTGAAATATGTTAGTAAGCTGTCAAACCCATTAGGTTATAAACAGTAATAATTAGAGTGGTTGCCATTAAACGTGGCAACGCACATATCCCTGATTATAAGGAAACTGCCAGTTTTAATGTAGCTTCACAAGTGCAATGCATTTGATTCTGTCATAACTGTTGCTTTTCTAATGACTTTCTTTAGTGAAAAATATACATTTTGATTTGTAAAGAAGAAAGACTGGTTTACTTTTCAGTTTCTTGGTGGTCAAACCTCAGTTTCTTGGTTGACCAAATAACATATTTAGTACCAGTGGCGTGTTCTGGCCCTCTCGACTCAGACCCAGGCCCTGGACAACAGACCTGGGAGTCCCTGGCTTTCAGCTGCTGCTTCTTAATTCCAGGTCAGTTAACAGCAAGGCCCTCCTTATATGTGAGTTGACCACTGAGGAATGGGCCGACCTGGTGTGTATCACTGAGACCTGGCTGGGCCCTGAAAGGGGGGTGCCCCTTTCGGAAATGTGCCCAGCTGGGTTTACAGTTTGGCATCAGCTAAGACCCCAGGGTAGGGGAGGAGGGGTACCAGTTGTCATCAGAGAATCTCTGTTGGCCTTCAGGGGGGCTGCTCCACAAGTGGCCAGTTGTGAGATCCTATTCCTGAAGTTGGGTTCATGAGCACAGATGGGATTGTTGTTACTGTACCAGCCTCCCTGCTGCATAGCAACCTCCCTGCCTGAGCTGCTGGAGGCCATCGCGGGGCTGGCAGTGGAGTTCCCCAGACTGGTGGTCTTGGGGGACTTCAATCTGCCATCCCTGGGGTGTGCCTCAGAGGCAGCCTGGGAGTTCATGGCTACCATGGCAGCCATGGGTCTGTCCCAGATTATCCATGACCTGACTTGGGACAGTGGTCTCACACCAGACTTGGTTTTCTTGTCAGAGCAGTAGCAATGTGATCTGAAGGAGGAATTACAGTTGTCTCCCTTGTCATGGTCAGATCATGTCCTGGTGGCCTTGAGAATCTCTTATGCTACTCCCCTCCACAGGGAGGTAGGACCCATTCAATCAGTGCACCCCTGGCGACTGATGGACCCAATTAGGTTTCAAAGGGAGCTGGGGGTTATATCCAAGAGTCTGCTGCAAGGTCCAGCGGAGATCTTGGCTGCTGCCTGGAATAGGAAAGCGGCCAAGGCCTTGGACAAGACTGCACCCATGCGGCCTCTCTTGACCCATTGAACCCGACACTCCCTGTGGCTTACGGAGGAGTTGAGGGTTTTGAAAAGGGGTAAAAGATGTCTAAAGCGCTGCTGGAGGAAAACAAGGACTGAACCCAACTGAACATAAGCTAGAGCCACTATTAAGGCCTACCTTGTGGCAGTAAGAGAGGCAAAACGTCAATTTTTCTCCGTTCTTATTGCATCCGTAGAATGCCACCCGGCGGCCATATTCAACATCACCCAATCTCTTTTGGGAAAGGGGGGCTCAGTAGCCCATTTACAGGACCACACAGAGGAGTTTTCTAGGCATCAGGAGGATAAAATCACTCAGATCCAGTTCCAGTTGGATACCAAGTGTGAGGCATGGTCTATAGAGATGCCCAGGGTTCGTTCTTACCCTGTTATCTGGGAACAGTTTGATCCTGTTGAACCTGAGGAAGTGGACAGGGTCCTCCAGACAGTCAATGCCACCACCTGTCAACTAGGTCCATGCCCCTCCTGGCTAGTTAAAGCTTCCCAGGAGGTGACATGTGGGTGGGTCCAGGCAATAGTGAATTCATCCTTGAGGGAGGGGGTGTTTCCAGTTGCCTTTAAGAAGGCGCTAGTGCACCCCCTCCTCAAGAAGCCATCACTGGATCCCACCATACTGGACAATTTTCATCCAGTCTCCCACCTCCCCTTTTTAGGGAAGGTGGTGGCGTTGCAACTCCAGAGAATCCTGGAGGAAACGGATTATCTGGAGCCTTTTCGGTCAGGTTTCAGGCCTGGATACAGGATGGAAATGGCATTGGTTGCACTCATGGATGATCTCTGGCGAGAGAAGGATGGGGGTAGTGCATCATCCTTGCTCTTCTTGACCTCTCAGTGGCTTTCAATACCATTGACCATGATATCCTTTTGGGTCAACTTGGGGAGTTGGGAGTGGGCAGCACAGTTTTGCGCTGGTTCTCTTCTTTCCTCCAAGGTCGATCCCAATCGGTGTTGATTGGGGGCGAGAGGTCCAGCTCGTGGCCCCTCCTTTGTGGGGTGCCC